AACCAAAGTGCAGTGGTTCCCAAACTTATCAGCTTTTGACCCACAAAATAACAACAGCAGAGACCTGTGCCCCCAGCTATTTTTGGATGATAAACATTTGTATCAGGTCAACTAAACATGGGCATAGTAACAATATTTTTATACTAAATTTACCCATTTTAAATACACTAACCTCACTCCTTTAACAACTAAGGCAAAAATGTAACTAATTCCTAAAATTTTTTCAGGACCCCACTTTGATGTTTCGGGACCCCACTTTGGGTCCCGACCCCAACTTTGGGAAACACTGTCCTAGATAGTGTGAATTTAATTGTGGTTGAATGAGAAGTATAAATATATAAAATTCTGATACTGTATTAGTTTGTACACAAACAAATCATGTCCCATTCCAGCAGGACATAATCATTAAAATAAAAGGACTGTACTTAAGAAGTTTTTGTATTTCATGAATTATATTATTGCATTTGGCCGCAGCCCTCAGATAGATTTTCATTTTGGGGAAAAAGGTTGTGCAGCCTTGATATATGTATATAAACTGAAACAGCTGGACTAGTGCATCCTAAATTTAACATAAACTAAACATTATTTTAATACGACGTCATTTCTGCATTTTTTGGGGAGATCTCCTAATAAATGTCATTACAGAAAATCTAACTGCTCATTTTAAATCAACACTGTTACCTTTAATACTTAAGTACAAAAAATATCAGATGCTTTAAGATTTTTACTGAAGTAATATTTCTAAAGGAGACTTTAACTTTTACCACAGTAATTTATTTGGTAAGATACTTGTACTTTTACTCAAGTATCACTTTGTGGTACTTTATACAACACTGAATTGTGTATAATTATGTATTTATGTGGCATTTTTTACGACAACTTTTAGCTATTGTTTTTGTCTGCCTAGGTTATTATGGCAACATCTACCTGCTGACGGATCACCTGTTGGACTTGTATCGTCAGTCCTCAGCATACAGAAAGCAGGCTGCCATGGTCCTAAATGAGATGGTCAGAGGTTCTGTAGGCATCGCCCTGGCACCTCGGGGTCAGTGTTTGGACAGTGAGATTGAGGGAGCTTCTGCCTCCCAGGAAGACATTAAAGCTGTAGTGGTGTCCATCATGGAGGAATACACCAGTCTGACTAACTGGCACTTGATAACCGTGAGTGAGGAGACCGACAGAGACCACCAGGATCAGCAGGTGAGGTCTAAAGTCCTAAATTTTAATGTCTTCATCCTCAAACATTTTCTAACAAACTGATACTATCTGCTTAAACTCTAAAATACGTTTAGCGTATAAATTTGCTGATAGTCACTTGTTTCTCATGAAACTTCAAACTCACAGAGAAGTGGGCCCCAGACTAATCTTTGCTGAACAGACTGGGCAGAAAGAAAAAGCTGCTCCAAGGTGTGAACTGACTGACTTTGCACTTTTAAGGCTGGATTTGTGAGGAAAAAGAAATCTCCTCATGCGTTCATCAAAGAGAGGCAGAAACACGCGGGCAGCTTTCTGTTAGCTTGTAGATAAACAAGCTGTTTGCTGCCAATCCAGAAAACCCAACATATAAAACGAGCAGAACTGTGTGGTGTTGTTCTGAGGCTATTTAGTCTGTAAAAATAATCTAGACTTTTCCCTTAAGTCTTATATATTACGTTCATCTGTAAAATGTGGAAATAACAAATAAGGGTGGAAAAATATGTTTGTGTTACACAAATACGCAGCTACAGTTATTTTATTATAAACAGGTGCTCTTGCTTTTATTAATAATAATTCATTTACAATTTTTTTAAAAACATGAAAATTTTAAACATTCATTTGTGAGGATCATACGGAAAAGCACTGCACTCACCAATAATCTAGACTTTTCCCTTAAGTCTTATATATT